TATTTTATACTATAAATATTACTTTAGTTAAAGTCACCAAGGAATTGAAGATTTGGAAACGAGTTAAAAGATTTATGATATTTCAAGAAATTTATGTCTTAATGTTAATACTTTGCTTCTCTACTTCAATCTAGCTAATCGGTTAATAATTAGAAGAATCAAAATTATCTGTAAATTGGAATTTTTGAGTGACATGTAACTTTTTTTTTCTTCAGGAAAGAAAATTTCTTTATTATGTTTATATATTTTAATCAGCCCATGATTTCGTTAGAGAACAAACAACAAATAAAATTAATAATTGCATGCAATATACAATATAAGTTAGACTTTTGGTTTTAAAAGGAAAATTTGTCGGGTTGCGTGATATCATCGGCGATGCCATTTGATTCTTATTTCATATTTGGAAGTTATTGATATATAATTGACGATTTGATGTGAAGTATACATGTAAAATTGTAGGTATTGGGATATGGATGGGCCGGTTTACTGAGAAAATATGTGGTCGAACCGGCTCACATGTGGTGGCCTAGCACTCTGGTTCAAGTGTCACTGTTTCGGTGAGTTTTCTACGTAATCACAAGGAATTATACTAATTTATACCATTTAAAGCTACATAATATGCGGGAGAAAGCAACTTTGGGTTTTCTTTTATTAATTTTAGTTTTTAACCTTAAAATCCCAAAGTAAAAACATTTTATTTCTATCATTGCATGTCGAATAATAATAATATGGGCATGCTTATCCATATCTCTTTTCCCAAAAAACATCCCAAAGGCATACTATAAAACTGTACTATCGTATTCAAAGATTTAGTTGTTCGAGTTTTGACTCCATTTGCGGATGCACACTCTGACTTTCCTCTATTATTTTCTTTTTGTCAAAGAATTATTTTCCAATTTTCACACCATTTTGTTTTGCTTATTTCAACCCTCATTGAGTTGCTTTAGATTTATACATCACCTACGTATATGATGGTTTTCAGATCAAAAAAGAGATTTTCTCGATAGGTCAATCCGTCAATATATATATATATATAGAACATAAATTACCCACTAAAATATATTGAACACTAGCCAAAATTATGGTCCACGCTTGTGGGCTATCCTTTGATCGATCATGACCACTTCTTACTTCTTACTTCTTATACTTCTTACTTCTTACTTCTTATCCATTCATTTATACAAGATTGACCAAAAGGCATAACATACATGGCAACGCTAACATGTACTCCCTCTGTTCCTATAAGAGTGATGTTTTGAATTCTATACATTAATTAAGAAAAAGTCATTTTTATAATTTTTTATTGTTTTATTACTAGTTTAATAATATTAATCTCACTTCTCTCCTTTTTCTATTGGTCACCAATAAAAATAGTAATGATGCTATTACAAAACATCAATCTTTGTGGAACAAAAAAAAAAAACCCGAAACATCAAATATCTAGGAACAGAGGGAATATAATATATCGTAAATATTTTCGTAGAAAATGTAAGAACATATGCAGTCTTTCACCAAAGTTTCTTATAGAAAAGAAAATTAATGAAATAATATAAACTATTATTTAATTATAAGAGTTTCTTAAAAAATGGTAAAATCTCTCAAGTGAGAGAATTTGAGAGATTTTTTCTACTTTTTTGAGAAATTCTTATAATTAAATAATATTTTTATTATTTTATTATTTTCTTTTATCTGAGAGACTTTAGACTACAACTTCACATGCTTTAATGAATCCACGTGAGTCAAGCTGTAGACATGGCGGGCTTTTTGCGTCTACGTGAGTATGAACTTAATTCATCCACTCGTGGTCCACTAATTATTTAACACCATCACATTTCATAATCATGACAAAGGAAAACGTATATATATATGTTATTTAAAAAACAAATCATTTCAGATGTTACACACGTTATCGATCGTCGTAATTAAGTTTTTGATTCATTGATTTTTCGTCGACAATTGAGTTTTTGAATTTATAATAACAATAAATGGGAGTTAATTGTTTAATATATCTGTGGTTGTAGTTGAGGGTTGCACTGGTGGGTCTATGCGTGTTTACTATAATACTATTCAACATATAACTTAGAAAATTTGAGATGTTGACACAAAACTTTATATCTAATTATACTGATGACGAAATAATTACGTGTATATTGTAATAAGTCTAATTAAAATTGATTCGAAATCTCGAAATCATAAGAATAAATAATGGATATTTTTGTTTCAATTTCATGTAGGGCATTGCATGAGAAGGACGACCAAAGGATGACGAGAGCAAAATTCTTTGTGATAGCATTAGTCTGTAGTTTCGGATGGTACATAGTCCCTGGCTATCTCTTCACAACACTCACAAGCATCTCATGGGTTTGTTGGGCATTTCCAAGATCAGTCACTGCTCAACAGATCGGTTCGGGAATGAGAGGTCTCGGTCTTGGAGCCTTCACACTCGACTGGACCGCGGTTGCCTCTTTCTTGTTCAGTCCACTTATCAGCCCCTTCTTCGCCATCGCTAATGTTTTCGTCGGTTATGTTCTTTTGATATACCTCGTGTTGCCTTTAGGCTATTGGGGATTTGATTCTTATAACGCTACGAGGTTTCCTATATTTTCGTCCCATCTTTTCACATCGTTCGGTAAAACTTACGATATTCCTGCGATCGTGAATGATAACTTTGAGCTCGATTTAGCGAAGTATGAGCAACAAGGAAGGATTAACTTGAGCATGTTCTTTGCTCTTTCCTATGGGCTTGGTTTCGCCACCATTGCTTCTACACTCACTCATGTAGCTCTCTTCTATGGCAGGTAATTAAGTACTATAAGTAGCGTAACGGCATATATAGCAACACATTATTATTTTTATATGCATGAGTGATTTATGTAATTAGTAGTATTTTGTATCAACAGGGAAATTTCCGAGAGGTTTCGTGTTTCATACAAAGGCAAAGAAGATATACACACTAGGTTAATGAAGAGATATAAAGACATACCTTCATGGTGGTTTTACTCCATGTTGGCTGCTACACTACTTATCTCTCTTGCGTTATGTATTTTCTTGAACGATGAGGTTCAAATGCCTTGGTGGGGACTTGTGTTCGCAAGTGCGATGGCTTTCGTCTTCACCCTCCCGATAAGCATCATAACCGCAACAACTAACCAAGTAAGCAATATTGACGACCATATATTAATCCATGGTTGGTTTATAATGCAACGAGCTATATTCATTTTTTACCTGTTTTGTAGACACCGGGGTTGAATATAATAACAGAGTACGCAATGGGACTCATTTACCCGGGAAGACCTATCGCAAACGTATGCTTCAAAGTCTATGGATATATGAGTATGGCACAAGCTGTCTCTTTCTTAAATGACTTCAAACTTGGTCATTACATGAAGATCCCACCTAGATCCATGTTCTTGGTTCAATTCATCGGTACAATTCTTGCCGGAACAATCAACATAACGGTGGCATGGTGGCAATTAAACTCTATCAAAAACATATGTCAAGAGGAACTTCTACCTCCCAACAGTCCATGGACATGTCCCGGTGACCGTGTTTTCTTTGATGCATCGGTCATTTGGGGATTGGTCGGACCAAAACGGATATTTGGTTCTCAGGGAAACTATGCGGCCATGAACTGGTTTTTCCTCGGAGGTGCGTTAGGACCAGTCATCGTGTGGTCATTGCACAAAGCGTTCCCAAAACGTTCTTGGATCCCACTTGTGAATCTCCCTGTTCTTCTAGGAGCAACCGCAATGATGCCACCTGCGACAGCGGTGAACTACAATTCGTGGATATTGGTCGGGACGATATTCAACTTGTTTGTGTTCCGGTACAGGAAAAGTTGGTGGCAGAGGTATAACTACGTTCTCTCAGCCGCTATGGACGCCGGTGTAGCTTTCATGGCGGTTTTGTTGTACTTCTCGGTGGGGATGGAGGAGAAGAGTTTGGACTGGTGGGGAACAAGAGGTGAGCATTGTGATCTAGCAAAGTGTCCAACCGCTAGAGGAGTAATCGTTGATGGTTGTCCGGTTAAATAATCTTAGGCTCCATTGGTGTGTTACAACAATGTATGATACATAAAGTAACTAAGAACTTCAAAAAAAATTCAAACAAGAATCCAACTAAAATTGTAGCGAACAAATTATTCTTACATAAGCACAGAAAAATAGTTGTAAAGAGTTACCTTCCAGAACAAGAGGACACAACCACAACAGCGTTGGACTCAGAATCAAGATCATCAATAAGAACGCAGTTACGCCCTTTGTGGAGGATTTTGGAAGCGGTGAGTATGAGCGAATTAAAGACGTTGACTAGACGTTGACTCGATTTATTTGTTCAAACTACGCCGTTTCGGAATCCAGCCAGAGGATTCAAATCAGACTTGTGATCCCAAACCGGCCGGTTTTGTTTTTAGAACATAACCGACAGATGTATTAAACGAAGCTGCAACGGTGTTTTGGGATCACGCGCAATCGCAGCAAGTCTTAAAACGTGAGTTTGAGAAAACGTTTCGGCCATTTTTTTTTTTGTGTGTGATGCAAGTCTTAGAATCTCATAACACCGCCACACTGCCAGAGATTTATTGAATTAAGGAAAAAGGTCATATCTTGTCTCCGCGTATTCTTCTTTCCTTAATTGATTTCGTTCTTATAAATTAGGGTTAGTGTACAGATATATACGGGTCTTGAGTCTGATTCATTAGAAAACGATCAATACAGTTGCCGAGTAAAAGAAACAAGAAAGCTTGAGTAACAAGGAATTCCGTATCTCTAAACAATCCCTGTATGTTTTTCTTCTTACGTGTCTAGACGTCGGCTTTATACCTTCTCTCAAAGGCTTATCTTTTCTTCTTCTTTGGTTTTGCAGTTCCGGAGATGGACATGATCAGTCTACTTTCAGATGACTTGCTATTGCGAATACTATCGTTGGTTCCAACAAAAGATGTAAAGGCCACAAGCCTTGTCTCGAAAAGATGGAAGTCTCTTTGGAGTTTAGTGTCAGCAATGCATCTCGATGATCGCAACTATGATAATGATGATGTTGACTATAAGAGTTTCACACAGCTTGCTTACAGGACTTTGATGAAAAACAAGGCGCCCGTTCTATACAATTTGCATCTTGACCTTGGTCCTAAGTGTGACACCGTAGATGTTGGGATATGGATTGAAACTGCGGTTTCTCGCCGCGTGCGTTGGCTTATAGTACAAATCCGGTCAGGGTCATCAGTCAGTTTGCCGAGTAGCCTATTCACATGTGAAACAATAGGTGAATTAGTGCTTGTACATTGCCTTGTTCCGGATGTTCCTTGTTGCCTCCCGTTTCTCAAGAGTTTGCGTCTTGTGAAAATGGGTTACGCATGTCTTCATAAGATTTTACGCGGCTGTCCTTATCTTCAAAATCTTAAAATGTGTGTGAATGAAGAAGAACACGAGGGAGAAGACACCACTATCGCGTTGCCTTGTTTACGACATTTATCCTTGTGGGACATGATGAGATACAAGAGTAAGAGTGGTGTGTTTGTGATAGAGGCTCCTCGTCTCAAGTACCTTAAGATTATTGATGATGTTGTCTATGACTCTCGTCGAATTGAGAATATGCCCAATTTGACCGAGGCGTATGTTGACATCACTCAAGGAGTTACCCACAAGTTTCTGAGAGCTCTTGTTTCTGCCCGCCGCCTTTATCTATGCGTACCACTACTCTCAGAGGTTCCTAGTATGATCATCTACTTCTATCGGCTTGTTCATCTCAACCTAAATATATGTGCGCAAGGTTGGTGGGAGCTCCTCACTCAAATGCTCCAAAATTCACCCAAACTAGTATCTCTCAAACTCACCGATGAACAACAATATCCTACTGACGAAACTCCAGATTGCTGGAAGCGGCCGAGTTCTATTCCGGACAGTCTTGAAACATTCGCATGGAGCGGTTACAAAGGGAGACGAGGAGATTTAGAGATGGCGACCTTTATCATGAAGAACGCTACTCGTTTGAAGACAGCCACTTTCTTGCCACAATGCAATGACACTGACGCCAAATATAAGATGCTCAAGGACTTGGTATCTGTAACTACGACTTCAAATTCGTGTCAGCTTCTTTTCGACTAAAAAATTACGCAAAGAATCTTAACAAGGGCAAGAGAAAAGTGACTCTTTTTTTCTCTATAATTTTGGTTTTCTTTCCCGGTGTAACAATGTTCTAGTTGTAACACACCGAAATAAACAATGTCCCATATGATGATAAGATCCAATCAAAGGATCGCCAATTGGGTAAATTATCTAATTGAAACATTTTCTAATGTTTTATAATCGTTGTAAAAGGATGCCATTTTGGTATTTTTCATCCCAAGCTAACCAAAAGCAAACATACCCAAAAGACCAAAAGACTTAAAAAACTTGCATCATTTGATTAGAAAGGGATAGACCCCCAAGGCCCCAAGTCTTACAAACGAGTACCCATAATAAGACTTCAAACATGCAGTTTCTGGTTCTGGGAACAAAATACTGTTATTTGATCAAATCCAAATTCTCAGCATCATCACAGCTGGATAATTTTTAGACAAAACAAATGAGAAATGGAACTCTAGGCACCAATCACGGAACCAGAGTTCTTCCTGCACTCGGACAACATGTCCATGTAGAACTGACATTTGCTAATCTCGCTTCCATAGCTGCCGATGCACTGCATTCATTTAAAAAAGAACAATAATCAGTGACATAGCCTTGGATTTGCCCGACTTCAACAATGAAAATGTGATTATCCCATTTTATTCAATGTTCGGAAACAAGTTTCAATGGGCATGCTTCACTAGAGTTAAAGACACCAATCTTTATGGTAAACCACCAGTAACACATAATCACAGAGCTATGTAAATATTCAGCAAAGAAAAAGAAAAAATGAATTCACATGTTTCAAAACGAGTTCTATCATGCACTTAAGGATCTGGAAAAATATGAACCTAACAGAAATGCAGAGAGAGTGTGTTAGTATGAGAAAAAGATTCAACACTTACATCTTGGAAAGCCTTAGCATGAATGTCACAGGTGCTAGAAAGCATGGCGCTTCCAGCAGGAGCTGGAGATGCAGAAGCAGCCTCAACAGCTTCATGTTGAATGGTTCGCGGACCCATCACAGAATCAACAGCCCTGTGTGCAACTGCACTTCCAGTACCAAAAGCCATACCTAGGTCCCACAAACACAAATACAAACAGGTCAGGAAAGACGATTCCAGACAAAACAATTGGGTACATGCTTCAAAATTCAAAAAGTATAAAGACAAAATTAGGCTGATTTACCCTGAGCAAGGGTTGAACCAATGCCTGAGAACATGCCACCACCACCACCGCTGGCCTGAGCTGGAGCTGGAGGAGGTGCACGGTGTACTGAAAAACAAAACCCAGAGATAAAGATTTATAAATAATTGAATCCAGTGGAATAGATTGAATAGCCATTAACTAAAGAGAGAGCAAAAAGACAATTTCGGATTTAGACCAGGTTGAGGAGCTGGGCTGCGTGCAGCAGCAGGACGAGGGCGAGGAGCAGATCTTCCTGCACAAATGAAGACAAAATGAGAGAAATATCACAAAAACAAAATAAAAAGTTTTATCATTTGCCTTCAAAAAATTTGACATCCAAAGAAGAAATCAACAATGAAATCAATCACAACCACCCTATCTCGAATTGGAAACTAAACCAAACCTAATAATACCTTTAAGAATATTTGACTATCTGATATCCGACAAGGACAATAACAAGGTAAACCCTAGATCGGTGCGATACACGCATAAACGAACCCAAAACCAAAACACGACGCTTATCGTCATCATTTAAAGTCAATAGAATCTTATAGATCTGAAATCGGAAAGAGAAAGAAACTTTACCTCCTGAGCTACGGCGACCCATTTTGATAGAGAGAGACGACGGCGATGAAACGAGAATGAGATTAGATTAAGCAAATGGAGAGATTGCAAAAGAAGCTATTACGCGACCACGTTTATGTGGAGGCGGTTATTTATAAAGGCAAAAAGAAATAAACGGAGTCGAGGTCAAGCCACGCGGATATGTAGACGTGTCTGTTTTTAAGTGGTTGTAAGTCGATAATTTTTACAAGTAGCAAATGTTTTCCGTTATTTAATTTTGGCCCAAACCTGGATTCTAGATAGGCCCAAAAGACTTTTGTTAGTTTTATTATATCCATCAAATCATTCTTCCTCGTCTTTTTTTTAGCATCTACTATACATTTTTGCAGCAGTTTTTGGGGTACCCAAATCGGGTCAAATTTGTTTAATTTTGACCCGAAAATCTTCAATCGGATCTTTCCTTAAATTTTGGCAAAATTAAAAAACGAAAATAATTAATAAAATCTAAAATATATATACTTTCTCAACTAATTACTATATTTAAACGCTTTATTTATGGTATATTCTCCACGATTTTTATAGATAAAGAAATCAAATATGATGATTTAATGCTAATATAACAAATTTGCACTAATTTCCTAAAACCTCTCTACCTAATTTAAACATAAATATATGATTCTTATTTCACTTTTATTTGATCTTATATTTATATTATTTTAAATTATTATAAAATATATAAATAGTTAGTAAATTTTAGTTTTTTTTTTTCTGCATATGTTACAATTCAAATTGTTTAAAACGGACATATATTACTCAATCGATGAATAAAAATATGTGTGTAATCTATATTAACATTTTTAAGAACAAATTGAGCATTTAATCATGTCGTTATTTTATTCAGACCCGAAATTGAGTCATTCGGATCTTTCTTTAATTTTTACAATTATCTAAAATGGGACAGTATATCACGGGTGAAATCCTAATTAGTATTTTAAGATACAATTATAAATTGTTTTTACGGGTTGGTCCAAAAACACACACTAATTTAAAAATATACATGGAAACTATTTGAAAGCAACTTTCAAATTAACTCGAATTATATGACATTTAAATAAAAGTGTTATTAAAAAAATAACAAAATGATGTTTAATTTCATTTTAGATTATATGGTTGGACGGGTTTGGGTCAATATTAATACGAGACAATATACCACAGGTGAAATCCTATAAATAACAAATCAAAATATAATTATACAATCTTAAACACTAAACAAAACAAATACAACTTAAAATTTTTTATTTTAGATACAACGCATGTGACCCGCGGTATACAACAAAAAATATTATACACAATAAATTCATCAATTTATAAAAATAAAAAAATCAAATAATTAACCCGCGGTGTACCGCGGGTCATATCCTAGTTCAAATTCAAAGTTGTATCAAACATAACTTTTCGACTTCGAGGAAATTAATTTTTTAGAGTACCTTTATTAGCGAAAGAAGAAAAGAAACTGGTCAACAAAATATTACAAGATAAATATCTTTATTTAAAATTGTATACACACCTGTAATTTGTAAGAAAAAAATGAAATAATGGCTGGGGTTTGATGTTTATAATACAAAAGCTCCACATCTGATTCTGACCGTCTGGTTGGTTTAACTCCATCGAAGATCTTCGTCTTTGGATGATAACGAACCAACGTAATGTAGAAAATATACGAATTCTATTCAACATAGCAAGACACTCGACAATTTTGACAGACCCAAATCACAGAGTTTTTCGCTTTACACTAGATTTTGCGCATGAATCTTAATTTTGCATTACTATTGATTAGATTACTGATAGTGAGTTTAGTAGAGCAAATGTGTTTAGAATCTTCGATACGGGTTGTATTGTAGTTTTGCTACAGAAAGAAGAAATGTTCTGAGAATGTGAAAGCTATTAAGTGTAGGGGTTCACAAAACCATCAGTAAAACTCTGTTTACTTGTAACAATTTTTTGGCTTTGATTCAGGAACTTCAGAGTAAAATTACTGTAAATTTTTCTACCATTTCATTTTCATAGCTAAAGATGGTGAGAAGCTGAAAAATAAAAATAAACAGTCTACAAAGAAATTGTGCGAGCAGGTTTTAGCAATCCAAAGCAAAAAACATATTTGACCCATTGTTCTCAAGTTTTCCTTTTGTAAAGATTTTCTACTGAACATTTTTGTGAGATCACTGTTTCTATAGTAATGATTGTTCCTCTGTATCCTTTCAATCCAATCTCAGTTCCATGTGTAATAATGTGTGGTAAAAGAAGAAAATTTTAGGGAAGACATCAAACTGATTCCTTCAAAGTACTTAAAACGAAAAAATATATTGTACAAGAGTTCATCAAAAGATCCAAATCAACAAAAAAAAAAAAGATTAAATAAAACAAGAAACAGGTGAGAGCTCGACTATTTTTTGTTTTCTGTATGGTTACAACCGTGTGGTTCTAGTTTAGGTTGTATTTTTTGGACAATGAGGTTTCACCTGTAAGGATGAAGGCATGAAGGAGGTTTTGAGCAGCCTGGGTTTGATCAGGTGTTCCAGATATGACAATGATCCTGTCACTTGTTCCTAGAGGAGGTTCATGGACTATGACCCTCGCACCCGATATCTGAGTAAACAAGCATCAGATGGTATAAGCTATGCTTAAGCCGTTTTAGTCAACCAATGGGGTGCTACTTCATCTTTAAACACTAACTCTATTTGGTCAGTCGATGATTATCTCGGATTATATGGGGCTAGATGAGAATTCTGATTTTAAACAACGACCAGGGTGTAACACCGAATAATGGAACAAAGGTTCGAGTACTTCAACGAAGATGGAGTTTTCGTGACTTAAAACAGTTTTTTTTAGTTACGTTATGCATCGTTGAAGATAGTCCTAGACTACTACAGACCTAGATTAATGGTGGCAGGATGGTTTGCACCATGTATAAGTATATGAATTTTCTTTGCTCATGCTTTCCTTTTAGTAACCCTAGAGTTCACTTCCGTTTTCTTTTCAGCCGTTGTTGATTCTTGGTATAAGAGCAGCCAATGGAAACTAAAACCTATAGCTGCTCTTGTGGAGAAATTAAATCATGGCCTATGGATGACGCTATGGGGCAAACCAAAAGATTTGTAAACAAAAAATGGATTACCTGTCTCAGTTGCTCTAGATTGTAGCCCTGCTCTCCATACACAAAGCTCATAGCATTTTCTGGAACTCTAATTTCCACGGTTGTGTTTGTAACGATGGCAGATTTGTGTCCACTAGAAAAGACCAAGCGAGTATGTAAATTACACAAAGATCAGAGCAACAATCGCACAAAACTGTCTATAATTGTAGTGCTTTTACCTGCCAAGCGCATGGCCAGCCCTAGCAGAAGATAATCCGCCACTGGCATCAGATAAGCCTCTTGGAGCTGCTGGAGGCTACAGAAAAACTATGTATATCAGCCACAGAAGTTAAGTAGAAGCAAGAATGTTCAAAATCTGAATGTGTAGAGGAAGAATGGGAGTAGCAACAAGTACTTATGTACACCAGAAAGGGGAGAATGGGAAAATACAGAGAGATGAGACATACCGGGGACGCCCACAAACGAGATGGGACCTCAGTTAAGTGATGGGAGATATCACTGTGGTCCATGGTAAACCGCCGACCAAAATTAGGAGAATAGCCTGCAGAGGGATTAAACCTATCAGGAAACGGGTCTTCTGGTCTTACGTAAGGATCTGTGCCAACAGGTCTGGAATAGTTAACTGATGAATGAGACCCACTTAAAAAGGAATCCTCAGATCTTCTGTGCAGACTTGAAGAGTTGGTAGGTGGATTACTAACGGATTGATGAGACCCAATAGACAGAGGATTATCTGATTGTCTGTGGTAGATTCTCTCTGTAGTTAAGGCGGAGCTGCTCTTGGTTATGGAATTTTTCATTGAGTTGGAGAAAACACTGTCTCGCAGCCTGCTTGTAATATGGAAAATGGCTTCTCTCACATTAGGGAACTCTCCTGTAATCTATTGGCCAGCAAAGAATAAGTTTACGCCAGAAAACTTAGGAACAATGGCGCTTAAAAAAGAATAACATGAAAACTACATTTCCCGAGTTAATCTCTCACCCAAGTTTTATAGTAATTTTTTTTTTACTCTCTCTGTTTGCATGAATGCTTCAATTTCTTCAGAAAATATCAGTAACTTAAATTCCACCAACTTATGACAAGTGTGCAAGGTGAATAGAGACCAACACGGGATTCGGTAATGAAAAGCAAAGCACTAACATTTAGCATGCTGATTCCAAATTATGCTTCACAAATCATATGAGAGATTGTCACAAGCACATTAGATCTTTTGACCAATTAGTACCTTGTAATTGGAATATATACCATAACCATAAGGTCAACAAATGATCTAAGTACCTGGATAACTTGATCATTCTCTGAAACACATTTTGGGTTCTGCTCAACCTTCAAAATTTGAATTGTGGCCCCAGTGGTTTTCCGCATTTCTGAAACAATAACACCTCCTTTCCCCAGCACACAACCAATCTGACTTGTTGGGACAACAAGCCGAGCAGTGATAGATGTCCTTGGGCCATTATCTAGGATTTTTTTAGTGGAAAGCTCAAATAATCTAGAAAAAAGAAGCATAATAGCTTTCTGGGCTGGCGAGCTTTGACATTCAGGGTTCTACATGATGAACAAGCAACATATCAAAAAAGAATAGTAAATAGATGGAACAGTATTGCATAAGCATCCATGAATGGGAAGAAATAGAAAAGACCAACCTCTGGTGCAGTTACTGCAATCAGACGTTCTTCACAATCAGCAAGTGTATTTCCCACATTTATGAAGGCACCTGTTTCGCTATGAAGCATCCTGACAACTTTACCCCCACTCCCGATAACTCCGCCAGCATTCTCAGTGGAACAAAGTATCTTAAAAACCACATCTTGGTTCCCTACTTCCACTTCTGATGGAGGTGGCTTCATGGAGGCAGTGTTAGCTATTGAAGCAGACGTAGTAATGCTATGTGTGTCTAGAATCGAATAACGATGTGCAAGATAATCTGCACTTTGCCGACGAAGAGTTTCTTGTGGGATTGTTTCAATAGGCCTTCCGTAAGCATCACGTGGAAACGACTCAAAAGGCATGCCCATAGCATCACGTGGAACCATCTCGAAAGGTCTATGCAAGGAATCATGAGAATCATCCCTCTCTTTATGCTGTCGAAAACAATCTCCCCTGACAACATCGGAAGGCATGTATAACGTTTCTCGAGGAACCACATCAATATGCCTGCGTAAAACATCTTGCCGGTCTGCCTCAATATGCCTGCGTAAAGCATCTTGTCGGTCCGCCTCAACATGCCTGCGTAAAGCATCTTGCCGGTCCGCCTCAATATGCATGCGTAAAGCACCCTGGGGAACCGCCTCAATATGCCTATGATGCAAAGTATCATGAGGATTCACATCGCTAGGCCGAGCTAAAGTACCTCGGGGAAAGATCTCGTCTTTCCTCAGCCTATAATCGTAAGGGTTAACTTCAATGGACCTAGGAAGAGACTCCTGAATGATTGTCTCTATCGGCCTATGCAAAGATGCTTGGAACTCTTTTTCTAGAGGTCTGTTTCCGACCATCCTTACCTTGTCAATTGATTGACAATTTTGCAAGCAGCGGGAGATAGACACAAGAGCTTTCTTCACAGCAATAGCATTTCCTTCAATCTGCCATAGTTCAATATAAGAAACAATACATTACAATCTGCAAAAACAAGCATCTATAGAGTATTAAACCGGAAGAGGGCAACTAGACTCCAAAGAAAGTATCTGAAACGCAACATTGAGAACTCAATTTAGTATCAATTTGGATTCGTACCTCCACCATCTCGTCATCAGTATCAGCGCAAATCGGCAAATTCTCAGTCCGTATAGAAATTTTGCAGCCAGTTTCTTTCCTAATGCTCCCCACCATTTGACCACCTTTGCCTATCACAGCACCGGCATGGCTAGACTCCGTCAACAATCGGCACACGACCGTATCACTATCCGCTTCCGCCGCTAAAAGCTCGAATACCTTAATCAACGCTCCTTGTGCTTTAGATACCTCAACTTCCTCCTCCTTCTTCTCCCCTTCAGCATTCCCATTGTTATTAACACCCAATTTCACCCTTGATTTCGAATCTGCTTGCGCAATTATCGTGATGACCCGATCCGGAGACCCAAACGGAGGCTCCTCGACCCGTATCTTAGCTCCGGTTGATTGTTGGAGCTGTTTGATAACGTTTCCAGATTTTCCAATAACCGCACCGACGTGCGATAAAGGGCATAGCAATCTAAATGCCGCGTGTCCCACCGGCACAACCAGAGGCGGAAGCAGCTGCGTGTGATGTGTTTTGACCCTCTTCGAAGATCCGAATCCTGAACCCGGATCCAGTGCTCCGGATCTCTTCTCTGTATTAAAGCTTTTTCTCTCCATGATATCTCTCTCTCCCTCTGTAATCTCGTCACGGCGGTTTCCGGCGCAAAGGACTCAGGAGAAGTCTCTTTGACGGTCTTTAACGCTAAGTTGCTAACTTGCGCCAAATAACCGCATTATATAACGTATTTTTATCGGCAAACCGTACCGTACCGGCTTAATCCTTCTCAGTTCTCACTAAACTTAACCGAATCTAACAAAAGTACACGTAAGGCTAACAAACCGTACCGTACCGTACCGGATTAGTGTGTTAAAATATTTTGATTCAAGAATTACGACGAAAGGCTAATGTCTGATAAAGAATCAAATAAACTTGTGACTTATACCAGATTACCTGTTGATCTTGATAAACAGATACACGAATCTAACCTTCCTAATACCAAATGTTACAATTAACAAGATCTAATGTCGATTTACTATTTTTACACATAGTATGAAACAGAGGAATCGTTTAAACTTCATAGCCAGGGTTTACAGTCTGCTGCACATCTCCATAGCTTTCAAGCTCAGTAACATCCTCTACGCTCCCAAGAAACAGAGGCAACCTCTGGTGAAGCTTCACGGGTTGTATCGAAAGTATCCCTCTCTTTCCATCAGAGGATTTGCCACCAGCTTGTTCCACGAGAAAAGCCACAGGGTTTCCTTCATAGACTAAACGAAGATGGTCTCTTGGATTCATAGCCACTCCACCGTATAAGAGAGTCCTGTGAAGATCAGCTACTAGAGAACAAATGTAACGCGCCGAGTACTTTTTCGGGTTTTGACCTTTGCCTTGTCTCACTGTGTCAATGTACTTCCTTAAACCATCTGGCCAATCAAAGTACCTCGCATCATTCACTGAGTAGATTTGCCCTGTTGTTGATGATACAAGGAGAAATGATCAATGATCAATGCAAGTTGTTTTGAGTCATGATTACATTGATTAGGGATGTTGCAATGGATCAAGTCATGTGCCACTAGAAGCTTTTTACCTCGAGTAGGGATCTTAATGTTTTGATGGGTAAGAACAAATTCGCCTGTGGAATGATCTAGCGTGAAGGCGTGTGTTCCCGAGCCAAGTGTAACACAGAAGATAGTGGCTGAAGAGTAGAGCACATAACCGGAAGCTACAAGCCTGTTGCCTCTCTGCAAAGAATTGAGCTCAGCTTTCTCTTCAACTGGTAAATGATCAAGCTCAACAAGGCGATTGTAAATCCCAAATATAGTTCCTGTCGGTATCGAAGCATCGATGTTCCGTGACCCATCTAGAGGATCTACAACCACAACGTAAGGACCATCATCTTTGATCCAAGTTGGACTATCATTTTCTTCAGAAGCCATTACTGCTACTTTCCCTGAGTTTCTAAGAGAGGACAAGACGATATCGTTCTACAAAACGGAAACATGAATTGTAAGATTGAATCTTGATATGAATCATGATAAAAAGAGAGTAACGAGAAACAGACCGAGACAATATCCAGCGGCTTAGGCGCATCTCGGTCTGACCCACTAGAGGAGTTAACAGAGAGCTTTCCGAGTGAAGAATTGAAAGGAGAGGCGACAAGAGAAGCGATTCTTTTGCAGGCATGTTGTAAGTGGTAAAGCAACACCACAAGATCATCTCCTACCTTTGTCCCTTCTCCTCCTCCATTACCTATCAGAAAAATTCATAAACAACTTAAATTCCACTCAAAATTGAAACTTCACAGAGGAACCCCTCAAAACCCATCCACAGTTTGGTCTGAGAGAGTTTCCAAGACTTATCCTACTCAATTAAGCACATTTTAGATGCTAAAGTCAGGGTATTTCCACTAAAATTCAGGATATTCGGACATAGATTGACAGTGAATGACAGAGAACACAAAATTAACTTGAATTATCGAGACAGGTGTCAAGTTCGCTCAGACAGAGCAGTTGTTACCTGCAAAGTCTATGAGAGTACAGTAACCATCATCACCATCACCGGTCGAAGTCTGACCAACGGCGAGGGACTTAAAGGAAGCACACTCACGACGAGACGTCATCTCGCTACGGTTGCCGGTGGTCGGAACAGAGAGAACAGACCCTGCGATTTGTCTTAGCGGGTAAAGATTGAGTGTTGGCGGGGAAATTGGAGTTGGGTATCGAGTTAAGGTGAGAGATTGCATTATTTTTCTGGATTTAAAGCATCTGCGAAACTCAATCCCATCTGAGTACACTTCAAAACGGATAACGAATAGAAGATGACTACGAGTCCCCCACAGTCCATAGCATCTGATTACGGTTATTTTTGGAATTGGATTCCGGTTCAATTGAACCGGTTCGGTTATAAAAGCAAAGGAGCTGCCTTTTGACATCAACTTATTCATATATTCAAATACAAACATATTTTCTGTTACAGTTACACAAGTGATTGAACATTGAACAGTTCCTTCTTTTGAAGATTCACAGATTCAAGTTACTGGAAGTTTTCTTCTTATGAAGAATTCTTGTGGAGCAATGGGTCAGAGACGACTTGAGGCTTGAAGTCTGGCTTTATGTACTTAGCCAAAAGATCGGCATATACTTCGTATCTTGCAGTCATTCTAAATCCCCATTTGTCCTTGTATTGCCGGCAGAGATTGAGATCCATGTCCGAGATCAATAACCCATCTTTGTAACGGGACAAAGACGGTGTGCAAGAAGCATCAGGTGCAGAGAAATGGCTTGACCCATAGAAATGCCCGAAATCATTGTGTTGCGGTTTTCCATCACCTGATGTAAAAGGATTGGGGAATACTTCAGTTCCAACTCGGTTAATGGATCCCACGAAGTAACTGTTTGCTATCGCGGCATTTCGTGCCTGAGGTTTTAAGGAACAGACTGAATTGTCAGACAGTGTTACTACAGAAAAAAAACTTCAAACTGAGTAAATTGGAGAATCAGAAATTAAACCTCAATAGGCCACATTGGTTCACTGAGTCCACCAACAGTTGCTGAAGGGTTGAAGACAATCTCTGCACCATTTAGACCAAAAGCTAACCAATTTAGAGGATGGTGTCTTCCATAACAGATATTAACCGCAATTTTCCCAAACACTGTCTCAAACACAGGATGGCCAGTGTCTCCTTCCATGTAATACGTGCTCTCATTGAAATCTCCTACCCTCGGTATATGGTTCTGCCACCGAGCAAGCATTAGAAATTAGCAGACAAGATAAAAGACCAAGCACCACTTGACATGTAGGGAAAACTTACCTTTCGATGCTTGCCAATGATATTTCCATTATTCCCTATAATCACAGCGGTATTCCAAAGCACTTCACCGTGATCAATATCTCTTTCAAGAATAGGACTAACAATCACCATGTTATACTTTTTAGCGAGTTCTTGAAGAAACTTTGTGGATTCGCCATCAACAGGCTCTGCAAACTCACACCATCTCCTCTCCCTAGTGCAAAATGCAAAAGGCATCGTCCAAGCTTCCTATCGATAAAACGGTTAAAATCAAGTAAAGTAATAACTCATCTACAAAAGAAAGCAAAAGGAGGCAAACCTGCAAGCACAGTATGTTAACACCAGCAACCCCCGCAGCGTCGATCATCGGCTTCAACTTGTCGAATATACCTCTTGTTTGGTCCGAGAAAGGAGCAGTGGTCGGAAGCGCGATTGAGTTTTGAATGAGACCAACTCTAACCACTCGAGGATTTCTCATTTGCTCTTTATCAGCTGAAAAGCTAACAGCCTAGAAAATATTTATACAAATATCAAATCAAAACATTTTCTCAACTTATTAAGGTCAATGATTTGATCCAATAGTATATATAACTAACGGAGAAATCAACCTGTAGATCAAAATCATGTTTCGAAGACAAGGATATTGCAGACTCCGGTAGAACAATCTGTTCAAGCGATCTCCCACAGTTACGTCCAAGGAGCAATCGGTTTACCTCCTGCAATTCCAATCATCAACAATCCATTTCTTTTGAAGTCGATCAACATAACTAAATAAACACTTGAAACCACTGGAAAAAAATCCATAAAATCATCATTCGAATTATAGAAGCTAATGAAGAACCCTAATTTTAGCAACTGACGCACAGCAAAATTCCAAGTAAGGAACAAATTTCCACAAGATCAAACACACTGAAAGAGTAACTAGGTTGGAGGGAGGGATACTACACCTGATAGAGCTCGGGCTTAAGATTCGCTGATAAGAGTTGATGCAGCGAATCATAGCCGCAAATCGATCCCTCGGCAGCTGTGTCTCCGTTTTCTGAGATGATCTTATCCATTTTACCACGAGTCAGGTTCCGATCACGAAACCAAGATGGCGATGACTTTTATGTCAACAACGATCGATCGGTTTGATCAATTATTATATATAGAAAATATTATATTTACGGCAATTTATCTAATCATTTTTTTAAAAAAAAAAAAAACTTCATTAAAACATAAGATTACAAGGCCCAAAAATCCCTCGACAGCCCACAAGTCCCAAAAAATACTAGACAACAACAGCATCCACAGGCCTGCACGACGAAGAACATAAACCTGTAAGCAAAAAACAGAGCGAGAGATTTCTTACTAACCCTAATTCTTTAATTACGTATTTTAAAGTTGTATCATCTACTAGCAACAGCCATGTCTCTGCTTCTCTCGAAGCTTTCTTCCCTGAAAACCCCTGCACTCGTAAGCTACTTTTTGATGTAAATTAGTTTTGTATAATTGCTACTTGGTGTGTAATAATACCTTTTCTGTTGCATGATTACTACTAAGTACTAAGTATTATTCCGCAGAGGCACCTCACCACTAGGTTTTTCTCAACTTCCTTTTCGCAAACGTTTCCATGTTTCATCGCCGGTGCTCAACATTGTGGATCTACTATGAGGGATGGGGATGTCGGAAATCTCAAGATTTATAAAAATCCTAGTGATGGTTATATTGTTACGGAGAAGAAGGTACCTATGAAGTTGGTGGAGGAAATGGGAACGATAGGAGCGTCAAACGGTTGGGTTGCTACGTTGAATGATGGAGTAGTCTGTCTCCAAGATGATCTAAACCCAAATGCGTCCGATATCGATCCAAAGCGCATTTCACTGCCTCCTCTTGTTACTCTGCCTCATTGCCAAACCCAAATTGTAACCAATGTGGCCATGTCTTCCTCTTCTCCTGAGGATGACGATTGTGTTGTGGCTATCAAGTTCTTGGGATCTCAACTCAGCTTATGTAGGCCTGCTCGAAGCTCTGAGTGGACCAACATCAAAATCACAGACCCGAGTTTCTTCTCTTCGCGTGTCATGTATTCCAAGAGAGATGAGATGTTCTCCATGCCCGCTTCAAGAGGCACTTACATTGGATCATGGAGTCTTGGAGAACACGGAGACACCCCAAAGATTCAAAAGTTGCGGTTTCAAGTGTTTCCCGAGTTGGTGCAGTCGGAGTGGGAGTTTTTGGATTTGTGTTCCAAGAGCGAACACTTGGTGGAATCAAGACTCACTGGTGAAACTTTTCTGGTTAAATGGTACACCAAGAGATGCATACGTTGGAAAGGGAGAATGCTAACGCAGCGTTTCATGGTATTCAAAATAGACGAGGATGGAAACGTGGTGTTCACTAGTGACATTGGAGATCTCTGCATCTTTCTCTCCGAGGCTGAACCTTTCTGTGTTCGGGCTCCGAAATCCCCAAACTGCGTGTTTTTCTTGGGTCATGACTACAGCGGAGTAGTCAATCTCCGCGACTACTACCCGTCCATTAATTGTAGCACTTATTATCCTGTCCCTTACTATATTCCACCCCAAACTCCACCAAAGTTAGCCTACTACTAGTTAGTTTTGAGCTAAGTCTGAGTCTTTGCTTTTTATTTATTAGTCTTCAGTTATGTTCTTGCTGGAGAAGGATGTATCAACACCAACATTTGATTTGAAACAACAATTTGAATTGTTGATGGTTTTGACTTTTGAGATCTAAAATGTCTTTCTATATCAAACTGTTATATGTTCTTAAACCAATTTTTTAGAATCTCATGAAAACAAAATATTGATTAAAGCTGCTATGGATTTCTACAGAACGCTTAATCAATCAGAAAGATGAAAGACTTGGTTGGCAAGGCAATTCTCTATATTAAATAATTTAATACAGAAGATTGTAAAATTTAATAAATTAGTATTACCAATTCTTGAATTAGGGTTTTGTATCATCTGCCAACAACAGTCATGCTTCTCCGCCGGCTCTTGAAGCTTTCTTCTCAGAAACAGCCTCTGCTCGTAAAGCTACTGTTCTCTTCTAATACTTTAATGGGGTTTCGTTCTCTAATACTTTAATGTCTAATTACTACTGTTATTCCACAGAGAGACCTCACCGCTCGATTCTTCTCATCTTCCTTGTCGTACAAACTTCCTTGCCGCACCATGGGCGCTAAACACTGTGGAACTAGTGTAAGGGATGGGGATATTGGAAATCTCGAGGTAAGCAATTATGGTTTTGATGCGATCTTCGCTACGGAGAAGAAGGTGCCTATGGAGTTGTTGAAGGAAATGGGAACCGTAGGATCGTCCCATGGATGGGTTGCTACTTTGAAGGACGGCGTGTTGCGTCTCCAAGATGATCTAAACCCAAATGTATCCGATGTAAATCCAAAACGCATTTCATTGCCTCCTCTTGTAACTCTGTCTCATTGCCAAACCCAAATTGTAACCAACATAGCCATGTCTTCCTCTTGTCCTGAGGATGAAGACTGTATTGTGGCGGTCAAGTTCCTGGGACCACAACTCAGCTTATGTAGGCCTGCACGAAGAAACTCCGAGTGGACCAACATCAAAATCACAGATTCTAGCTTCTTCAACTCACATGTCATGTACTCAAAGAGAGATGAGATGTTCTCAATGCCTTCTTCTGAAGGCGACTACATTGGATCATGGGATATCGGAGAACACATTCACAACCGCAAGGTTCAGAAGTTGCGGTTTCGAAACCTTCCGGAGTTGGTGAAAACAGAGTGGGAGCTGTTAGATTCGTGTTGCAGGAGCGAGCACTTGGTGGAGTCGAGATCCACTGGTGAAACTTTTTTAGTTAAATGGTACACCAATAGAAACAACGACAACGGGAAGATGAAAACAGAGCGTTTCATGGTGTTCAACATAGACCAGGAAGGAAACGCTGAGTACACTACAGACATAGGAGAGATCTGCATTTTCCTCTCACAGGCTGAAGCTTTTTGTCTCCCCGCTAGCTTCGATGACGGATACGATAACTATATCAATTTCTTTGGAATCGACCACTGCGGATCAGCCACTGTCAGCAATTGTTTTTTACTTATTGAGTATTCCAGTTCTAGTATCACGGCACCTTACTGGATTCCACCAAATTTAGACTAATAATAGTAATCAATCAAAGAGACAAGTATTTAGTGTTTCTAATGTGAGGTTAACCTCAGGTCTCAACTTCCCAGTTATTTTCCTTTATAGTTTGTATTTTTCACTGTTGAGTTTGAAGTTTTTCTGCATTATGGCTATACTTTCATTGTAACTTTGACTGCAACGAAACTACTGCTGAGATGATAGTATCATGTTTTTTTTTTACGGTTTTGATGTGTCCCGGGCATCAATATCAAACTACAGCGCATAAGTTTTCCCGTCTAAAAACAACTTCATGTTTTTCTTTAACAAAAAAGTAGATATCTCATGTGGCTTTATCATATTGAGAAGCAGTAACAGGCTTTGCATTATTACATATCTATCCAAGATTTGGGGTCACTGCGTCATCATCAGTGACAAGCTGGGACGCGGATGGGATGGGACTTGCCAAATTAGAGTACCTTTGGAAATGTTCAGTCTCCTTTTTCTTCCCTATTCTTTGGTTATATAAGTTGCGGCTTCAAGCTTCTCATAAAAATATAAGAAAGCTTAAACATGAGCCTTAAACACAACAAGAAAATACAGAGATCATCAATTCACAGCAATTTTTCATTTTCCTTATTAGCACCTTGCATTGTTAGCTCGCTTTGACCAAATTCTCCGTTACCTAATAGCTTAATATTTGTATCGTAGCTCACTCATTACAACACACACAAACACATCTTTTCCATCTTGGACACACACATACACATCTTGTCCACTTCTCCTAGCTCATTACAAAAAACATTAATTATAAGAGCTGATTTAGGCATTCAAAAAATGTGTGCAGGTGAATGTGATTGTCTAGACGAGTCTCCACATCTGCAACACCGTGCATGCTCGACTTTGTTTTGTTTTAGAGTTTGTATTTACAAATTGTGGCTTCCGACACCAAAACCTTAATAAACAGATGTACATTTGATTCCGTTTTTTTTTTGTCTAAAATGTAATTGAAAACTGAAGCAGAGTCGGTTGGTATCAAGTTCATTTCAATCTTACGAAACCCCAAAAAAAGAGACTCAAACTCAAACTTAAAACTATCATTTCCACAAGTGCCAAATTTTAACAGCATTTGTATTAATCACCGAGATGGGCTATTCCGTAGTCGTCGAGGCCCTTGAAACATATGACGTTATTTGGTTTTTTATCACACAAGCTAGGCTGGACACAGAAAGCTTCACCCTTGGAGAGGAGCAAGATGCTGCGATCTCCAATGTCAGTAGTGTACACAGCGTTTCCTTTCTCGTCTATTTTGAATACCATGAAACGTTGCGTTTCCACCCTCCCCGTCCTACGGCAATTGCTCTTGGTGTACCACTTAACCAAAAAAGTTTCACCGGTGGGTTCAAATTCAACTAAGTGTTCGCTTGTGCAATACGAATTCAAGAGCTCCCACTCTGATTGCACCATCTCGGGAAACTTTGGAAACCACAAATGCTTCAACTTGTGGTTGTGAATGTCTTCTCCAAGATTCCATGATCCAATGTAGGCGCCACCTGAAGCAGGCATGGAGAACATCTCATCTCTCGTTGAGTACATGACACGGGAATTGAAGAAAACCGGGTCTGTGATTCTTATATTGGTCCACTCGGAGTTTTTCCGAGCGGGTCTAAATAAGCTGAGTTGAGGTCCCAAGAACTTGACAGCCACAACACAGTCATCATCCTCAGGACAAGAGGAGGTCATGGCGATGTTGGTTACAACTTGGGTTTGGCAATGAGGCAGAGTTACAAAAGGAGGCAGTGAAATGCGTTTTCGATTTGTATCTGGCTCATTTGGGGTTTCATCATCATGGAGACACACTATTCCTTCCTTCAACGAAGCAAACCATCCACTGGATGATAGTCTTGTTCCCGGTTCCTCCACCACGTCATCATCATGAGGATTTTTAAAAATCTCGATATATCCGACGTCCCCATTTCTCAAGGTAGATCTGATGGAACTGGGATGGGATCTCAAAAAGGTAGTTGAGAAGAAACGACCGGTGAGGTTTCTCTGCGTAGTAATCACAAACATCAGGAGTATTACAGAACATAAAGACTATGGAGAGAAGAGGAGCTTACCAGTGCAGGTGTTTTGAGAGAAGAAAGCTTCGAGAGAAGCAGAGACATGGCCGTTGGTATGAGATTAGAAGATGGTACAAAACCCTAATTATTGAGGTAATTGGTATAAAGATTAATAATTAAGGAATTAAGGAAAAAAAAAAGACCAAAATGCCATCATGTAGTTGTTCCGGCTCATGTAACTACCGTGGTATACTTGACTCCTTTTTCGTCCTTTTATTTTTAAGATCTGTATTTCCTATTTAGCGATATTAAAATAAATAAATTCAGGAGTCAATTAATTTACGGGGAGAGAGGAAAAACGAAGGGGAACAAAAAAAAAAAGGGGATATGGTAGGCGGACGCGGCGGAGTTGGCGGTGGTGGTAATAGAGCGGAGGCGGATCGGTGGCTTGTAACATCGGAAAAGCTTCTAGCGTCTAGTGATCTGCAAGGAGCGAAGACATTTGCGATCCGCGCATGCGAAGCTGACCCGACCCGAGCAGAAGCAGCGGACTACATCCTCGCAATCTGCGACATTCTTCTCGCCGGAGAGACTCGTTTAGGTGATTCTAACTTGCCGGACTGGTACGCCGTTCTTCGACTCGGTCGATTAGCTCAAAACCCTGAACACGTCGCGACTCAGTATCGTAGACTCGCTCTTCTCCTCAATCCTTCCGTTAATCGTCTCCCATTCGCCGATCGAGCGTTTAAAATCGTCTCCGATGCTTGGTTCGTTCTCTCTGATCCGTCCAAGAAGTCATTCTACGACCGAGAATTGCAACTGAGTCAAATCGGTCAATCTGGTTTCCATCCCCAAACCCAATCGCATCAAAATTTCCAGTGGAATCCCACCACCGTATTTCCGCCACAGGCTGGGACCTCGACGGATCCTATGGCGACGAGCTTCTGGACTGCTTGCCCTTACTGTTTTGTTCTCTTTGAGTACCCTAAGGCTTACGAAGAATGTACTTTGAAATGTCAAGAATGTAGAAGAGCGTTTCAAGCTGTGACGATACCAAAACCTCCGGTAGACGATGGGAAAGACGACGAAGACGTTTACTTTTGCTCATGGGCTTTGTTTCCATTAGGGTTTTCCGGTGAATTTAAAACCCCAAGTTGGTCACCTATTTCACCTCTATTTGCCTGTCCTCTGCAAAAGGTGGATGATGAAACAAGGAAGAGAAAGGAACCGGGTCCTCCTAGGATTTACTATGATGATGATGACATATATGTTGCGATTTCGGATGAAGATGACGCTGGTGATGATGATGATTGGCAAGATGTGGTACAAGTGAATAAGAAGGCGAATGCTGGGAAAGGGAAAGAAACATCTGTGAGAAGTAACAAGAAACATGGAGTTGAGACAGTCCAAAATGTAGAAAGTATCAGTAGTGCTAGCAATCACGCGCTTTCGGATGCTGCGGTTGGTTCCTCATCCGGGGTTATGTCTAAACCAGGGAGTTATATTACTAGAAAACGAATGGGAACAGGAGCTAAGAACCTGGGGAGGTTGGATTTGAATGTGGAGTTTAGTAATGAAGTGGAAGAGCCTGGTGTGGCAGGTGGGAGAAATGAAGGCAATGGGATCGGAAGTAACAGGGAGGTAGATCATATGGAAGGGATTGGGTTCTTTGAGGGACTTGATGAATTCTTGAATAGTTTGCCAATACTTTCTGTTGTTGGAGATGATAAGATCAAGGCTACTTAGTGAAGTAAGGCTTTTTCCTTTCCTTGGTTTAGGTTGCGGTGTTCCGTTGTTGTAGACCTTAGCTTTTATGTTTCCTGTTGATGTTTAACTGTACTGGCATTTTGATTCCTTGGAATCCCTGAAGTTGGAATCTGTTGATGTTATTTGGCCCAAAAGTCGGATGTTTTCTTCCCTTTCTTGTATATAAGCTTCTGCTTCTGAGTTCTGAGTTGAGTATGGCTTTAAGATATCTTTCTCTAGACTATAAAGCCTTATTAGCCAAGTGCCTTTTTCAAAGTAAAGTGAGTTACTTATTCTGCTCAGGTTTCTTTTGTTGCACAAGAATTCTGTTCCTCCAAGGCTCCAACTCAAAAGGCCAGAGTGCAAATTGCAAAATATAGGTGGTTCATTCACTAGAATTTTTTTTGTGTTGTTTCACTAGAATTTTTTTTGTGTTGTTTGATTTCTGGACCAACAAACGGAGAGGTAAACTGACAACACACATTGCTTGCTTCATTCATCCTTGATGCTTTGTAAGGTAAGGAAAAGAAGTAAGCTTTTTGTCAAGAATTTCGTGATGGTGTCTATTGTCTAAGGTAAAGAGACCTACACTGCTTTGTAGAGACTCTTTTTGTGTAGTCATTGTAGCTAGGTATTCTCACTTACCTGTAATGAGAGTCTGCAGAATCAAGAAGATGCAGAAGCTATCTTGTGCTCGTTATCTGGCTTTTACACGCTCCAGACTTCCAGTTGTGCTGCAGTGAAGGTTCCATTGTCTATTCATAAAAGCTTGTTCAAGATGAAACTTTTAGGCTCTAAATGTTCATGAATAATCTGTTATTCTCTAATTGTGATGAAGAAAGGTTCGTTGTATCTGTCTTCTTGATCATGTATCTTTCAAGAATGCAAAGGAAATTTTGATTGTTTTCTACTTATTGATGACATCGTTCTTTTCGAATAGATTACGAAGTTAAAAAAAAAAAAAAAAAAAGTTTTGGCCTAGATTCTGCTTTTTAATTCGGTCTGGTACACAGTATTAACCACCTTTGAGAAAGAATAAAGGTGGGCCGAAATTTCATCGTATTGGGTTTTCGATTATTATTAGGCCCATATAGGATAGATCAATCAGCATGATAAATAACAAAAAAAAAAAATAGCAAGAGCTTCTCGAGAGTAGAAGCTGCAAAAAAAAAAAAAAAAAAAAAGCGAAACAGTGAGAGAGAGAGAAGATATAGAGAGATGGGTGTGGAGAAGGAAGTCATCAGACCCGGCACCGGTCCTAAACCCGCTCCGGGTCAAACCGTCACCGTCCACTGCACCGGATTCGGTAACTTTCGTTTGCATATCTTTGAAATCGCCATGATAGGCAAAATCGATCTGTACAAATCTGCTTTGTTGAAGAGCTATTGATGTGTTGTGGTAGTCGCTATTTGTTTGTTTTCTCTGATGTGGAATGGATTTAATTAGGGTTTATGTTCTCTTCTGGGTTATGAAAGTAAACTTTAGGTCATAATTAACCTGTACTTTTGTTGTTTTGCGAGATAATTTGTCTGCTCATCTGGAAACTTCATGCGAATCTATCTCATGTTTCGCTTTTGTATTTTTAGGTTTAATAAAAAAATCTTGTTTTATCTCATAATCCAGTTTCTTGTGTGGAATTGAACCTCTCCAGTTTCTTCTACCTTTATGAATTTTGTTTCAGAATCTTATTCCTCTTGTGTTTTTCTTTCAGGGAAAGGTGGTGATCTATCCCAGAAGTTCTGGAGGTAAATGATCTTTATTGTAATCTTTGATTCAAGTATCAATAAAGAGAGAATTACACTTACTTGTTCCTATCATCCACGCATACTCAGTTTATAAATCGATATGTTTTTGTCTTATAAGTTTTTTTTTAATTTGGTATTTCGTTAACCTGAATTGTGTTTTGCTCTTTGGTATATAATTATAGTACAAAGGACGAGGGGCAGAAACCTTTCTCGTTCCAAATCGGTAAAGGTGCTGTGATCAAAGGTAAAACTTACTTCCTCTGTTTCATGGCTGATCATATCATATGTCTGAACCTATTTTCCTCTCTCTTTTTTTGGAGAGAGAACATGATGATTCAATTGTTTAAATTTGCTTACAGGATGGGATGAAGGCGTTATCGGAATGCAAATTGGAGAGGTTGCTCGCTTGCGGGTATGTATACCGCTTCTCTCATCATGTTCCTCTTTCCCAAGTTTTGACGTCTATGCTTCATGGATTCTAAGCTTCTTTATGTCTCTGTTGAAGCACTTTTGTCTCTAATCATTGTTTTACTTAGAGCTTGCAATAGTAGAAGCCATTTGTGTGTGTTGTTATATGTTTCGCGGTTTTTTTACATTCTTTGGCTTGCTATTTATGTGCTTCTGCAGTGCTCACCAGATTATGCATACGGCGCTGGTGGATTTCCGGCATGGGGAATCCAGCCAAACTCGGTTCTCGACTTTGAAATCGAAGTACTGAGCGTGCAGTAATGATCTCCCCAGCTCCTAAACTGTGGGAAGATTATTAATCTATACTTGAATGTTGAATTATTACAACCCTTTATCTTTATTGCTTCTGGGATCGTGATAAAACAAAACTTTGTGATGTCATTGCTCTTCTGAAAAACTCTTGGACCACGTTTTTATCTAAATAAAAGACCCGTCTCGTGTTTCAGTTCGAATGTAATTGATTATGAGATTATTGTTGTCTTTTAATTTAATTTGATTAAACTGGTTTTTTTGGGCAAACTAAACGTATCATTAATAAAGAAAACTGGTTTTATTTATTCAGTCAAAATGCCAATAAAAAGCAGAAAAGGATCAAACTGAAACTTTAATTTTTTATGCTATAGAAACTTATCTTCCACATATCAGAACCAAAACAAATGGTCTCAACCATAATGAAATTTGAATTGACCACTTCTAGTTCAAACACAGTATAATTACTGTTGTTAATATCAAATCAAAGGAAGAAAAAAGACTAAAGTTAAAAACTTTTTCAGACAAGATACATGTAAACAAAAGAAAGGAAGAAAAGAGGAACGCGAGAGAAGTCGTGCGGGTAATTAAGCACTTAAAATTCCCGTGCAATCCTTTAATCATCACTTATGCTCCTTTTTTCTTTTTCTTTTCTCCATTTTCATTTTCATTCTTTTACTTATCTTTTTCTTTTCACCCACATTCCCCAATCACATAAGACCTTTTATGATAATAACTTTTAAAATAAATGAAGTCTACATAATATTTTACAAAAATAAAAGAAAAGTATTGAGCTAATTTTGGCGTTGTATAAGCTAGATAGATGCTATATAATTAATTAAAATTAATAATAAAAAGTGTGGGTAGCTTTTATTCTTTTCCGTCACAATGGGTGTTTGAAAACTCAACACGCACCTAAACAAATGTATTAGAATATAATTAAGGATGACAAAAAAAGCTTGAGCACACTTTCACTAACTTAGCTTTCAATAAAATTAAAGAGGTAACCTGAAATAGTTTTTTTTTATTTAGAACATAATTAAGGATATAATAAAGCTCGACCACACTTTCACTAACTTAGCTTTTAAAATAAATAAGAGAAAACGTATGGACTTTTACTTTAACGAATAAGTATATATAAAAAAATTATATTGGTTAGAAAAAATATTAGTTAATGATAAAGTATAACCTGAAATTATGGACCGTGAGACTTTGTCATCATATATACCATAATTACGTATATACACGTTCGGCCCCCTTGTCCCATTTCTTTCAAGCAAAGCACAAATAAATATTGCCACCGATTTTAATTACAAGATTAATTTCCAAGTAACATATCTTTTTTCTTTATATAATCAAAAATTCCATTTGTACAACTCAAAATATGTAACCTTTGCGTATGTTAAATTTATTTTCTATAAAAAAAATAGAAAGTAAATTAATTTTGATTTATATATTAAAAAAAAGCCGAACCAAACGGAAAATTTGAGAGTGTGATTTGGTAAAATAAAGTAATGAAGGGCAAAAACGTCATTAAATCTTTTTATAAAGCCTTGTTACTCTTGTTGCCACTCACCTCTTTAGAAATATTTCGTAAAAAAAAAATTCTGCGTTTACACATTATTACTCGTTGGTCACTTCATCTCTCTTATCCCTTTGCTTTTCCATTGATTCAGCTCATAAACCAAAAAAGTCTCATCGTTCTCTCTGGATCTGAGCGAAAGATCGTTCCTTTGTAAGGTAATCAAATTCAATCTTTCTCTCTTATACTCTGTCACTGTTTTCTCTGTTTGTGTACCTGGAAACTGTGGTTAAAACCGGTTTAAATCGTTTGTGAAATGTGAAAGTTTTGTAATTTATGTCTTAATCTAGCTTAGAACATTGTTATTTGTGTATATTCAGAGTTGCAATAGTAAATGTAGCGTAAATTGAAGCTGTGAATAGACCTAATTGCTAGATGTTTATAAATCTCTGTCCTTTTACTGTTTTGATCTCTAGATTTAGCTCATTTTTGGTGTTGATGAGATGCTTCCTTCGATTTTTGCACAGATACTACTAAAGTAGATTGATGATCAGAATCAATTAGAGTGTGTATATAAGAAGAAGAGAAAGAGAAAACAGCATGTGTATTGCCGTATACCGTAAAGTTTTGCGCTTGAATCTGTATTGCCGTGTGATTCTGTAAATTGTTTCACCTTTGAACTAAGACCTTCAAGAGTCAAATCCTCTTCTTTGTTCTTATTCATCTTCCCTTCGTTTTCGATATATTTTAAACACTTTTGAAAATGGGATCACAACATTTCTATGTGTACCATTGTGAACAAAGAATCAGCTAGACTAAAGCTTACTTTCCTTCCACAACAAAAGTTTCCTCCTTTTGGTTTGGTTTCTGTCTGCTTTTTTCCATCAAAGATTCCCTCAAAGTTATGGTGTGCCAATCACCTGGTAAGACAAGATTTCGAGCATTGAAGTACGAGACAGGAAACGCTAACAAATCAACAATTGTAGTGAGAGTTATTGAATGCTATCAACCGATGGATAATTGCCAGGTTTGTACCCGACAATAATGCTCTCATTTATCACAATTTTAGCTTATAGTTTTAGCCTTCTAACTATGTGATTGTTTGATTTCTTTTGTGTTTCAGGCTGAGTACTTCAGACTTCTTCTCAAACCAGTCACGTAGTTGGTTGGTGATATTTCGCTGCATTTTTCAATCTGGGATTTTTTTCGTTCGTCTTTCTTTTACTATTTTCTCGAAAAGGGCACAAGAAGTATTGCATTCACTCAATTGAGCAACTTAACAATCGGTATGCTAATTTTTCCTCTGATTACTGTCTCATCTTATAAAATTGCTGACTTTATCTTTCTTGAGCTGATTTTTGCCTCTCTTTTGTCCAGCAGTGTTGTACTTTTTAAAGCTCCCTTGAGCTAAACTGCTAAGAGCATGCCTCTAGATACGAGGCAATTGGATTTGCCTCTGGGCTTAAGTCCTCAAACTTGCTTCGAGGATATAGCAGGTCGGTCTGTCCATCCTGGAATCCCTCTCCCTGAGCTTGGGAAACTATATGCAGCTAAGCTTCAGGCTCACTGTTTGCAGCCACCACCATTCCTGTCTTTGCTGTGCAGCCATGATAAGGAGTCTTATGGAAAACGATTCTCACGGTCTGACATGCGGTCTTGGTGCGCTGCTGCTGCTACTACTACTACTACTACTCCACATGAAGCATTAGAGTCTTCTCAGAAAAGACTTTTGATATTCGATCAGTCAGGAAACCAGACTCGTCTATTACAATGTCCATTTCCTCTACGGTTTCCATCTCATGCGGCTGCAGATCCAGTAAAACTCTCTGATTTACAAGGTATAGAGAAAGCTTTCAAGGAAGATGGTGAAGAGTTT